CCAGGGGGAGGGCTCCGGCCAGTGCCAGGATCGAGGTGGGTGGCTCCCCTGAGGGAGGGCTCCGGCCAGTGCCAGGATCGAGGTGGGTGGCTCCCTAGGGGGAGGGCTCCGGTCAGTGCCAGCCTTCAGGTGGGTGGCTCCCCCCTGGGAGGGCCACCTGCTCCCCTGCTCCCTGCACATCCCAGGGCAGGGATGGAGGGTGCTCCGGCTTCTCCATGATCCCCTCACCCCTGCACCCTAGACCAGTGCCCGGAGCCCTGCCGCTTCAATGCTGTGTGCCTGTCCCGCCGTGGCCGTCCCCGCTGCTCCTGTGACCGTGTCACCTGTGACGGGGCCTACAGGCCCGTGTGTGCCCAGGACGGGCACACGTATGACAGTGATTGCTGGCGCCAGCAGGCTGAGTGCCAGCAGCAGCGTGCCATCCCCAGCAAGCACCAGGGCCCGTGTGGTGAGCGCCCCGGGGTGGCGGCCAGGCGGGGTGGGCTGTTCCTGCGTCAGTTCCTGCCTGGACATCACATGCCATCTTCATCCGTCATGCTCCTCTTGGGGTCCTGGGAGTGGGCCGGTCCCTCTGGGAAGGCTCTGGGGAGGGTGGAGGCTGTGTGTGTGGAGGGTATCTGGACACCTGGGGGCTGGTGAGGCAGAGGCAGGGCCTTGTGTGGGCTCCCTGGTCCCTGCCCTCGGCCATGCCCTCCCCGGGAGTCCTCTGGCCTGTCCTCGTCTCCCTACTCTGTAAGCACAGACTGCTGGGGTGGGCAGGCTGGACACGACACCAGGGTCCTCACTCTTGGGACATGGGCAGCCCTTTTGGAGTCAGTGTCAGGACTTGAAGAGCCAGGGGGAGGCAGTGGCCATCGTATCCCGGCGGGCATGGCTGCCATGGCTCTGCCTGCCTGTGTTCGTCTTGGTCAGTTCGCCCATCTTCTGGTCTTTCTCTCTGCGTCTGTCTCTTCTCCTTGGTCTCTCCTTCCCTGTCGGCTCCGCCTCTTGTGTCTTCCAGCCTGACCTGCTGGCAGGATGAGGTGCCGTGCCTGCCCGCCGGGAGCCCGCAGCCCGAGGTCTGCCCCCGTGCGGCGGGGGGGGGCTTGCTGCTGCCTGGCCTTGTGGTCCTCAGAGCAAGTGGACAGACACCTCCTCCCCCGTGCAGCCCTGGGCGTGACTAGGGGTGCAGGCTCCTCCTACCCACAGAGAGCCCCCCACATGCATGGGTGTCCTGGGGATGCTGGTGGTCCCCTGGGGGTCCGTGGCCTGGGCAGGCTGGGGAAGCTTGGCCCCTCCATAGCCCGCTGTGGACAGTCAGGAAGCCCTGAGCTTGGGGGCAGCTCCGCCCACGGCCACTGGGGACTCCTGGGTGTATGTCCCGCTCGCCTCTGCTGCGTGTCTGTCCCTTTCTCTGCCGTGTCTGCTGTGCATCTGGCCCTTCTCCTGTGTTCTCTCTTCCTCCACCATCCCCTCCCTGGGAGAGGGACTGCTGCGTGGGGCTGGGGGCTTTGCCTGCAGCTGGCGGGGGGTGCTTGTGGGCCCACTGAGCACCTGTGTCCTCCCCAGGCCAGGCCCCGTCCCCGTGCCTCGGGGTGCAGTGTGCATTTGGGGCAACGTGTGCTGTGAAGAACGGGCAGGCGGCGTGTGAATGCCGGCAGGCGTGCTCCAGCCTCTACGATCCTGTGTGCGGCAGCGACGGCATCACATACGGCAGCACGTGCGAGCTGGAGGCCACAGCCTGCACCCTCGGGCGGGGGATCCGGGTGGCGCGCAAAGGACCCTGTGGTCAGTGGCGGACGAGGGGTCTGGTGGGGGTCGGGGAGAGGGAGGTTCCTGGTCGCCATGGTGATGGAGCCCCCTCCCCAGACCCCTGCGGGCAGTGCCGCTTTGGAGCCCTGTGTGAGGCCGAGACCGGGCGCTGCGTGTGCCCCTCTGAATGCGTGGCTTTGGCCCAGCCCGTGTGTGGCTCCGATGGGCACACGTACCCCAGCGAGTGCATGCTGCATGTGCACGCCTGCACACACCAAATCAGCCTGCACGTGGCCTCGACTGGACCCTGCGGTGAGTGAGGCCGTGGGGCTGGGCGGGCCGGGCTCCTGTGCCTCCCTCAGCCTGGGCCTGCCGACCCCTGCCTGGCTCTGTCTCCTGCAGAGACCTGTGGAGATGCCGTGTGTGCTTTTGGGGCTGTGTGCTCGGCGGGGCAGTGTGTGTGTCCCCGGTGTGAGCACCCCCCGCCCGGCCCCGTGTGTGGCAGTGACGGTGTCACCTATGGCAGTGCCTGCGAGCTACGGGAAGCCGCCTGCCAGCAGCAGACACAGATCGAGGAGGCCCGGGCAGGGCCATGCGAGCAGGGTAGGCCGGGGACAGCTGGCGAGAACTGCTGGGCTCCAGCCTTGGACAAGAAGCCCTTGGGTGACTCGGCTCCCCTTCCCCGCAGCTGAGTGTGGCTCCGGAGGCTCTGGCTCTGGGGAGGACGGTGATTGTGAGCAGGAGCTGTGCCGGCAGCGTGGTGGCATCTGGGACGAGGACTCGGAGGACGGGCCGTGTGTCTGTGACTTCAGCTGCCAGAGTGTCCTGGGCAGCCCGGTGAGCCCTGCGCCCCTGGTCTCTGCGGGTGGCGAGGACGTGGCTGCAGCCGCTCACACTGACACCACTCTCTAGGTGTGCGGCTCAGATGGGGTCACCTATAGCACCGAGTGTGAGCTGAAGAAGGCCAGGTGTGAGTCACGGCAAGAGCTCTCTGTAGCGGCACAGGGAGCCTGCCGAGGTGAGCCGGCTGCACGTTGGGTCTTGTGCACAGGCACGCCGGCCTCTGGGTGTCCGCGTCGGGCATGTGGGTGTGCCTGTGTGCTGTGGTGGGCCCCTGTGGACGTGTGGTGTTGTAAGTGGGCGGTGTCCAGTGTTGGTGCATGTGCACATTTGTGCTGCTGCGTGTGTGGGCGTGTGTCCATCCGTCGTGGGCGTGCACCAGGCCAGGCCTCAGTGCTGGAAGGCAGCATGAACCATGTGAGGCGCCACCCAGTGGGCACTGTCTCTGGATATATCCATCCAGTCAGTGTATCACATTAATTAGGTAAAAGTTGTGCCCAGTGTGTGTGATGCACGTGCACAGATGTGTGTCTGCAGGGAGACGTTAACCGTACGGTTTGGAGGAATGTGGGTGAGAATACATGCTGATGTCTTCACATGTTTCTCGATTTGCAAGGACACTCATCTGCGTGTGCACAGAGCTGCGTGTCCTTGATCTTTGGGTGCTCTGTGTGTTCTGTGTTCCTGGACCTACATTTACAGACATGTCCTTGTGTACGATGTGGGAGCCTCACCTGTGTCCTCAGCCCCAGGCTCCAGGGCTCCTCTGGGAGCTGGGATCAGGAGGGCTGAGTGGTGATGGTGGGGGTAGGTGGAGGCAGAGTGGCTGGGCCCAGGGTGGGTGTCCAGCACCTGGATGACCCATGAAATGGGTCTGAGTCATGAAATCTGAGTCCCATACCCTTCCCTGCAGGCCCCACCTTCACTCCACTGCTGCCCGTGGCCCCCTCACACTGTGCCCAGATGCCCTATGGCTGCTGCCAGGACAATATCACTGCAGCCCGGGGCGTGGGCCTGGCTGGCTGTCCCAGTGAGTACCTGAGCTCAGCTCTGACCTCGGGCCTGGTGCGGCTGTGCGGCCACGTGACCTTGTCCTGCCCTGACCTTGCAGGTGCCTGCCAGTGCAACCCCCATGGCTCCTACGGTGGCACCTGTGACCCAGTCACAGGCCAGTGCTCCTGCCGCCCAGGTGTGGGGGGCCTCAGGTGTGATCGCTGTGAGCCTGGCTTCTGGAACTTTCGAGGCATCGTCACCGATGGCCGGAGTGGCTGTACACGTGAGTGACAGGGCCCAGGACTGGCCACCGGCTATGCCCTCCTACCTGTCCACCCCTGTCACTGTGCCCCTTCTCACCTGCCCAGACCCTGGCCTGACCCACACCTGGCTGGGGGCTCGGCAGGGCCAGGGTTGGGGACCAGGCTCTGGAGGAGGTGGGGAAGCCTGTCCAGCTGCAGACATCAGATTCCTCCCCGATTTCCCCCAAGCCTGCAGCTGTGATCCCCAGGGCGCCGTGCGGGATGACTGTGAGCAGATGACTGGGCTGTGCTCCTGTAAGCCCGGGGTGGCTGGACCCAAGTGTGGGCAGTGTCCAGATGGCCGTGCCCTGGGCCCCGCGGGCTGTGAAGCTGGTGAGTGAGGGCCAGCACTACCCTGGGGCTTCATGGTGTGGGGTGGGGCCACCCGAGCCACAGGGGTTTCCCGTGCCTGTACCCAGATGCTTCTACGCCTACAACCTGTGCGGAGATGCGCTGTGAATTCGGTGCACTGTGCGTGGAGGAGTCTGGCTCAGCCCACTGTGTCTGCCCAATGCTCACCTGTCCAGAGGCCAATGTTACCAAGGTATGGGGTGTGGAATGTGAAGGGGAGTCGGGAGGAGGCCTTGCCCTGAGCACCCTTATTCTCTACCCCAGGTCTGTGGGTCAGATGGAGTCACGTACGGCAATGAGTGTCAGCTGAAGACCATCGCCTGCCGCCAGGGCCTGCAAATCTCCATCCAGAGCCTGGGCCCGTGCCAGGGTGAGGCCTGACGGCCACTGCCCCAGAACTGACCAGGAAGGCCTGACGCTGCCCTAAATCCAGCCCTACCTGCCTTGAGCCACCTGACCCTGTCCCAACCAGTCCCCCGCCAACCTCCCTCTCCTTGCAGAGGCTGTTGCTCCCAGCACTCACCCGACATCTGCCTCCGTGACTGTGACCAGCCCAGGGCTCCTTCCCAGCCAGGCACTGCCGACTCCCCCTGGTGCCCCACCCCCGGCTCCCAGCAGTACCGCACACAGCCAGACCACCCCTCTGCACTCTTCACAACCTCGGACCACCGCCAGCATCCCCAGGACCACTGTGTGGCCCGTGCTGACTGTACCCCCCACGGCACCCTCCCCTGCACCCAGCCTGGTGGCGTCTGCCTTTGGTGAATCTGGCAGCGCTGATGGAAGTGGTGATGAGGAACTGAGCGGGGACCAGGAGGCCAGTGGGGGTGGCTCTGGGGGTAAGCAGGGATCAAGGACTTGGGGTGGGCGGGCAGGCACAGAGAGGTTCCACCCCAGAGCCTGGTCTCAGAGCATGTCTCCCCAGGGCTCGAGCCCTTCGAGGGCAGCAGCGTGGCAACCCCTGGGCCACCCATCGAGAGGGCTTCCTGCTACAACTCCCCTTTGGGCTGCTGCTCTGATGGGAAGACGCCCTCGCTGGACGCAGAGGGCTCCAACTGCCCTGGTGAGTGGACGGCTGGGCGAGGGGAGTGTGAGGACCAGCCTGGGCTCGGCCGGGGTGCTGCCCCCTCGCCTGGGCAGCAGGTCAGTGCCAGGGTTATGGTCTTGGGTCTCGGCCTCCTCAAACACGTGCGTGCCCGGGACCCCACTCCTAACCCGTCTCTCTCGTTGCAAGCCGGCGTGGCACACTGCTCTGAGGAGTCTGCCTGGTAACCGACACCAGCCCCACCCTGGGGTCCCCACTAACCTCATGACCATCTGACTAACATCCACCTTCCCGTGCGCCCATGTAGCTTGCTGCTGGGGCCTGTGCCCGGGCCAGCCTGGATCCAGGCAGATGCCAGGCAGGGCCTCACTGCACCTCCCCTACAGCCACCAAGGTGTTCCAGGGCGTCCTGGAGCTGGAGGGCGTCGAGGGCCAGGAGCTGTTCTACACGCCTGAGATGGCGGACCCCAAGTCAGAGCTGTTCGGGGAGACAGCCAGGAGTATTGAGAGCACCGTAAGATGGGGGGCGCAGCCCCCGCCCAGCCACTGGCCCTCCTCCCCAGATACCCAGGGCAGCCCGGCTTGGGCGGCCCCCCAAGTCCTTGCCTACCCCCTGCCACAGCTGGACGACCTCTTCCGGAATTCAGACGTCAAGAAGGATTTTCGGAGTGTCCGCTTGCGGGACCTGGGGCCCGGCAAATCCGTCCGCGCCATTGTGGATGTGCACTTTGACCCCAGTGAGACCCCCACCCCGGACCCTTCCTGGGAGGCAGTGGGTGGGGAATGCCTGGGGCTCTGCCATGCTCAGAGCTCGCTCCTCCCCAGCCACAGCCTTCAGGGCACCCGACGTGGCCCGGGCCCTGCTCCGGCAGATCCAGGTGTCCAGGCGCCGGTCCTTGGGGGTGAGGCGGCCACTGCAGGAGCATGTGCGATTTATGGACTTTGGTGAGCGCCAGGCCGCGTGCCACGGCTCGCCTGACCCTCCTCTGCCCATGCCCACACCCCCACCCCTTCCTGGCCCTGCTCCCAGGAAACCCTCACAGTTCCCTGTGCTGGCAGACTGGTTTCCTGCGTTCTTCACGGGAGTCACGTCAGGAGCCATTGCTGCCGTCGCCACGGCCAGAGCCACCACGGCGTCCCGCCTGCCGTCCTCTGCTGTGACCCCTCGGACCCTGCACCCCAGTCACACAAGCCAGCCTGTTGCCAAGACCACGGCAGCCCCCACCACACGTCGGCCCCCCACCACTGCCCCCAGCCGTGTGCCCGGACGTCGGCCCCCAGCCCCCCAGCAACCTCCAAAGCCCTGTGACTCTCAGCCCTGCTTCCACGGGGGCACCTGCCAGCACCAGGTCTCTGGTGGGGGCTTTACCTGCAGCTGCCCGGCAGGCAGGGGAGGCGCCACCTGTGAGAAGGGTAAGGACGTCCACTGCAGGGGAGGACAGGGAGGCAGCAGGGTTGGGGCAAGGATTGAGGGTGGGGCTAAGCCACCATCAGGCTTTCAGTTGGGGGCAGGATTAAGGGGGGGTTCCGGCCAAGCGAAGTGGCTCACACCTGTAATCCCAGCACTCTGGGAGGCCGAGGCAGGCAGATCACCTGAGGTTGGGAGTTTGAGACCAGCCTGACCAACAGGGAGAAACCTTGTCTCTACTAAAAATACAAAATTAGCTGGGCGTGGTGGCGGGCGCCTGTAATCCCAGCTACTCGTGAGGCTGAGGCAGGAGAATTGCTTGAACCCGGGAGGCGGGGATTGCGGTGAGCCAGGATAGCACCATTGCACTCCAGCCGGGGCAAAAAAAGCGAAACTCCGTCTCAAAAAACAAAAACAAAAACAAAAAATGCGGGGAGGCGGTTTCAGGGATAAAAGTGGGGAATCCTCGGAGCTTTTCCAGCTGGCCTTCCCGGTTGCCCTTTGCAGCGCTTGGTGCCCCTGTGCCGGCCTT